ACTATATCATATGAACTTATTTTGCATTAGTGTTTTTTGAGACATACACCAACATGTCTCAAAAAAGTAAGGATGGGGATATCAAAAGACTGGAAAAAGAAGTGGTACTCAAAAGGAGCTGCTGGAGGAACATTTTCAGCTAAGCAGATTACATGATCGGTTAGAGGAAGAGCAGTTTAGAGATGCCCGGTTTCTCAAGAGTAAAGATAGGTAATTTTGTCTGAAATGCAAAAACAAAGTGAATAATAATAATAATAAATAAATAAATAAGTAATATAACGTTCCTGAACATAAAACTGCCAAGACTTTGAATATCTCGTCATTGTCAAAACAGTACATAATGTCTTTGAAAACTTTGCGCAATTTGGAGAAATCTCTCCAATATCAGCAATGGATGTCCATATTTCATGTCTAACTTTCAGAAATTGTTGTGAAGATATTCTACTCTGCCATCCACAAATGCAGGTTAAAGCTCTATCATGCAAAGACATAGGTAAACCCAAAATGCCACTGCCTTCTATTGGCCAAAGCTTATTTAAAATGGGCTGAGGCAATGTGAAAACTGTTCCGTGATCAGTGCTCGGTTCAAAAGCCTGTATCCTTGATGGTATGGGTGCTTTGGTAGACTAGTGCCTAGGACATATTGACCGACTCTTGTGAAAGGTAGAGAGGATGTTACACGTTGTTAACCATCAAATTCAAAAAAATTCAATTTAATATCTTTTTTTTAAATCGTACGTTTTTTTTTTTCCAGGTAGAAGAAGTTATTTTTAATATTGTATTGTGGATAAAATATGGGTTTATGAGATTTGGAAAGTACTGCAATCTGTTTTTATTTGCATTTTAAATAGGGCCCCAACATTTTTGGAATTGGCGTTTAATTTTAAAAACAGAAGCTCGGAAAATAATTCTGATGTCAGGATAAAGCAAGACAAAATACTCACTTAAAAATCTATAAACTGTAAATATAATTGAGAAATTATGAAATAAAAACATAATATTGTAATGAGGTCATATGTTCTTGGTTAACTCTACTTCAGA